GGTTAATTTGCTGTATTGGATCACTTCCGTATCTCTGTCCTCACAGGCCGTTTCTCAGCTTCTCTCCTGCCAGTGGCTCATTTGAGGCCAACCCTCCATTCTGTGAGGAACTCATGGATGCCATGGTGAAACACTTTGAGGTGTGTGACTCTTTAACTTCATCCCAAAGTCATTAGATTAGAATATCTTTACATAAACATAAATGTACCCATGCTGATTCTCATTCTCTCTCCATCTTTCTCAGGATCTTCTGGAACACTCCAGCGAGCCGCTGTCCTTCATCATCTTTGTGCCAGAGTGGCGTGACCCGCCGACCCCTGCCCTGACACGGATGGAGGCCAGCCGCTTCCGCAGACACCAGATGATCGTGCCTGCCTTCGAGCACGAGTACCGCAGTGGCTCGCAGCACATCTGCAAAAGGTCAGACATTTGTTGGTCCGTTTCCTTGTTCTTGTGGTTTTAGTTCCTTGTTCACTGCACAAATCTAACCAAAAGTGCTTTTAAACTGCAATCGCCACCAATGACATTGTTTTGTGAGGTTTAAAGGAGTAATTCACTTCTAAATGAAAATTTGCTGAAAATGTACTCCGCCTCAGGCCATCCTGAGGATATAAATGAGTTTGTTTCTTCATCAGAACAGATCTGGAGAAATGTAGCATTTCATCACTTGCTCAGCAATGGATCCTCTGCAGTGAATGGGTGCCGTCAGAATGAGTCCAAACAGCTGAGAAAAACATCACAATAATCCACACCACTCCAGTCCATCAATTAACATCTTGTGAAGCAAAAAAATGCATGTTTTACACTTTAAATTGTTACTTCTGGCTAAAATGCGAGTCCTCTCTCCATAATATTGCTTTCTCCAGTGAAAGTCATTTAGTCTGAATCAGGAGATTAATGTGAAAACAGTCCACAACAGTTGTAAACAAACATGTGGGTAGATTTTTGATGTGAGAGGACAACAGGAAATGGACTTTTTCACTGGACGAAGCATTATGATGGATTATTAGCTGGAAGCGATGGTTTGAAGTTAAAAACATCTTAATGATGGATTTGTTTCTTACAAACACAGCTTTTCGCTTCACAAGACATTAACTGATGGACTGGAGTGGTGTGGATTATTGTGATGTTTTTATCAGCTGTTTGGACTCTCATTCTGACGGCACCCGTTCACTCCAGAGGATCCACTGGTGAACAAGTGATGCAATGCTACATTTCTCCAAATCTATTCTGATGAAGAAGAAAAAAAACATCATTTTTGGATGGCCTGAGGGTTCCATTTTTGGGTGAACTGTTCCTTTAACCCATGTTTTGCTACCATGTCTCATGTTTCCATCCTCTGTATCTCTCAGAGAAGAGATATACTACAAGGCTGTCCATGGAACGGCAGTCATTTTCCTCCAAAACAACGCTGGCTTTAGCAAATGGGAGCCCACCACAGAGAGAATCCAGGAGTTCCTGGCAGTGTATAAGATCTCCGGCCGTTCATTGCCCTCACCTGGTCCTCCTTCCACCAGTACAGGAGACAAAGACTCCAAACCGGTCCAGGAGCGCTTGGCTAAGAGTCAAGACAACAGCAGTCCTGTTGACAAGACTGCACCGGACACAACAAACATTTAGACCGCGGCGCTGGCGTGTGGCCACGTGCATGTATGTATGTATGTTCATGGGAAAGAGTCTATGATTGTATGAGAGGTTTATTATTGTGCTGTTGGGTTTAGATGAGCACTGGGCATGTAAATGTTCACGCTAGAAGAGGAAAGACTCATGTTTGTTTACTTTCTTCCTCCTATTTTTTTTAATATTATTTGTTTTAGGTTTTTGAGTTATGTTATCATAATTGTTGGGTTTTATATCCGTGTATTGATAGTTTGGTCACTTTTATGTTGTCTTTTTTTAAGAGATGATAAATGTAGTCGAGTATATCTTTTTTTTTTTTTTTTGGCCTTTTAAGGGTGAATCTCATTGAAATGTCATATTTCACACCAAGATCGAAAGAAAAATATTTTGCAAAAAGCAGAAAGCCTTTTAAGCTTTCCATTAGCATTTTTTTCAACAATTAAGCAAGTTTTGTAGTTGCAAATGGGGATTAAACTTATTACATTTTCATTTCTTATACAGTATTTACTGTATTACAGTTAAAAAGTTACTATTACAATGATATTTAAAAGATCAAATCAGAATAAATTCAACACAATGCAACTTAATTGTATTGGGTTATCTTAACCACCTTAATATATTTTGCATTACAGTAGTAAATTATTATTTTTTTGCAATATGGTATATAAAAATAATGTAAAAAAAAAAAGAGAATGGTTTTCAAATAGGTTTAATTTTCTTTTATGCAAAATAAAATAGCATATTTCTTTGTTGATTTTGTGTTGAAATTAGACAAGCTTTGTGATATTCACTCTTTAATTCTGTGCTTTTCCCACTGGCAGGATTACGAAGCTGTCAATGAGTTGATGCACCGATGCTTGTATATTGTTGTTTTAGATCAGGGGTGCCCAACCCTGTTCCTGGAGATCTACCTTCCTGCATAGTTCAGTTCCAACCCTGATCAAATACACATGTCTGTAATTATCAAGTGCTCCTTCAGATCCTAATTAGTTGGTTCAGTTGTGTTTGATCAGGGTTGGAGCTGAACTCTGAAGGAAGGTAGATCTTCAGGAACAGGGTTGGGCACCCCTGTTTTAGATGATTCAGAAGATGATCGGCGATCAGGCAGCTATGTTTAAATGCCTTCATCATGACATGCATCATTGTTAGGGCTTCTCGAAGCGGTCGTCGGTTCCAATTCATAGACGTTCCTTTCTGAGTTGAGAGGTCATGTTTGGTTGCTTCATGTCAGAATATATACTGTACGTAATAACAAAAGTTCAGTAAAAAAAGCTGGAAAATATTTATAATCTAGTTTCCACCTAGTCATCCATCTGCAGTGAAAGCCAGTCCTTTTTCTTGTCTTTTTAAAATATTGTACAGAACCCAATGTGGCATTCTGGGTCACATCGATTCTAGCATTTAGGCCTAGCAATTGGAAAAAGCAAAGTCAAATTTCTTATTAGTTATGAAAGCATTATTCCAGATGTTTGTAGCGTGTTATTGAGAATGAATCGGCTCGTAAATATGGCGTAGGCCCCTCGTTTTTCTCCAGTGAGTCTACCTCTCATTTCGGGTGTTTTATCATTCAAACGAAGCAGTGAATGAGTGGCTTATTCTTCCTTTAATAACTGCATTGGCGTCCAGTTATTAGAATTGGTAGCTATTGCCTAGATTTCACCGTTTCGTGTATGTGAAAAGTGCTTTAAAAGTCGACTTGTTTTTTATTCTAATCATAGAAATTTGTTTACATGATATGATATTGGTTTAAATTGTATCACTGGGCAGCGTTTTGAATGTACATTTTAAAAAAAGGAAAAGAGAAACGACGTTACTGATGGATTTGTTGCTACAATTGGACTTGAAATGTTGCGATTATCAACACTACAATGGTGGATCTTTATTTTTTGTTTGTTTTTGCCTTGCTAATACGTATGTAGGAATTCATATGGTATATTATCACTTTATTAAGCCCAATCACTTCCATCTGTAAGAAAGTATAGGTTTGTTTGGTTGTTTTTATGCAGTGGACTACACTGTCTTGTAGCCAAACTTGGGAAATGGCTTTTATATTAAGTTTAAAAGCGTTCCAGTGGTTTGACGTGTAATGTAACCCAGCTTGCCATTTATAAAATCCAATATAACCCTTGGTAAGTATTGGGGAGTTGTTGGATTTCTTAGTCCCAGAGTGGATCACCAGCAAAACTGTAGATGTTGTACAGAACATAGCTATGAAGTTTGTCGCGTTCCTACACTGCTGTTGTGCGTTATTTGGAAGGAAAACAAAAGATGTCTCTTTCACCATGCTTTTTTTGTTGGTTTTAATTTGACGTTTTGGTTCTAAATAACTGTTTATGAATTATAGAATTTATGAAATGGTTGTTTTAAACTAAACCAAAGTGTTATTAAAAGAGGAGGAATTGATCTTGTATCTTAAAGCAGAATCGTGTACGGTCGCATCAGTAATGCATAAAGTGTAACCAGCAAAAACATCCAGTTATCCATAACTTTATTTTTATAATTCTCTTTTGGTTCTTTGTTTTCTTACAAAGGTATGTTTGGGTTTTTATTTTGCATGACCTGATATTTTTCATTACAAAACAAAACTAAAACATAAATTGTACAGATCTGTATCGTTTAATTAGTCGTACGCTTTGCCACACTAGGCTTTTAACCGATTTGTATTTATCAGTCATGTTGATTGATTTATATTTGGTCGCCATTGCGTTTGTTGATTCGGTCTCCTCTAAAATGCCATGAATGTCTCCCCTGTAATATCATTCTGATGAAGACAAAGATTCAGTGAATGTAAATATGTCTGTGCTTATGTTTCTTCTACCTGTATATTATCAGTGTCGTGGCATCTCCCATCACCTAAAGTGGTATAAAGATTTTCCTCTGAATCAGAAAAGCTCAGTAAAATATTGAAATCACGCACCCATCTCTGGCATTTGTTATTATTATATTTAATATACATATTTGCTATTTAAGGAACTCAGAAACTGCTTAAAATCTGCTGGTAGTCACACTAACAAAATGTAGCATGGTATTACCTTTGTTTATTTTGGACACAGTGCCATGGTAATACCATGTTTCATGTGTATCTGGTATAATTTGGAGTATTGTGCAATACATATGGTAACCGTAGAACTGTCCTTTTATCGAACATCCTTGGAAATAGCTTATATATATATGTTTTGAAAAATAAAATAGTTAGCACTTTTTAAATTTGTAATATAGCAACCATTTATCTGGACGTACATTTCGCCTCAAACAATCATCCTCCGTGCCACAACAATGATGGCCGCTCGCTCCGCGTAAAGCATGGCCACGGCCATTGTGTGGCTGCGCATGCGCACTACCGACCATGGACTTTTATTTTGTAATTCGCCACAGAAAGCGCACGAGCCTATTACGATTTTGTTTACGTCACGGCATTGTTGAGCTCGAGGAAGCGACTGACAAGTCCTCGAGCTGTCGAACTTCGACAAACAGTGCTTTTTCCTGATTATTTCATTGTTTCTAAACGCGTGCCGTTAAGCCTGTTTTTCTCCGTGCACATCTGTAGTAAAGTTTAAAGGGTCAGAATTAGCTCGCCAGCTTTCTGACTGCATTGATTGAGTAGCTGTCAGCTCGCAGCGGTGAAGTGTGCACACTTATCGTTCAGCATCAAGAAACCCCTGCAGCCTTCCTATCGATCTGCATCGATCCGCTGAGGATTCATTGGTAGTGAGTGATGGGGGCCCAGAGGAGTGAGGGACGCAGAGACTGGCTCCAGCAGGATTTCAGCGAGCAGCAGGTGCAGACAGCGGTGAGTCAAACTATATATGCACCATAAGTGAGCATGCAACCTGCCAAGAACCTTTCCGGGTCACATTCACCCCAAAAATGTATAGAAGAAAATGAATTTGCCACAAGTAAAACTAAGCCTGTTTTTAGGACAAGTAACAATTTTTGCATTGTAACATAACTTTCTTGACAATTAAGCACATTATATATTTTTATTATTTTTAATAACAAAATAGTTTAGTGTTTCAAGTGTAATGCATTTATTACCTGTATTAAAAAAAAACACTATATATCTGTAAATCAAAATGCTGAGTACTAAATTGTTGCACTGGCTGTCAAACCATCCTTGCAATTATAAATTAAGCATTTTATTATATTATGGCCATGCAAGAGGGCCGTCCTGATTGGTTCTTGGTTGTTGCATCCTTCTTTATGACCATTTTCATTCTTCTGGATGTTGTGAAAATGTTTTCCTGAATGGCAGAATCCCTGGAACATCATGATCAAACACAGACAGGTTCATCGCAGAGGACGACGCTCACAGATGACAGTTAGGTAAGTCCATAAATGTGCATTTCAAGATTGATGAAGTGCCTGATTTGTTAAGCTACTATAATCTCAGGTTAGTTGACATTTGTAGGACATTCGTGGCCCTTTCAGTTTTATGTTTCTGTGGCTCAGTGGTAGAGCATTGCATTAGCAGCGCAAAAGGTCGTGGGTTCGATTCCCAGGAAACACGCATACTGGTAAAAAATGTTTAGCCTGAATGCACTATAAGTCACTAAATGCATAAATTAATTAATTAAAATCTTTCGAAACGTCACTATGTTTGACTGAGCGTGTCATTGTGTGAAGTTACACAGATCCTGTCATTTCCATGGATCTTCTGCGAACTGTTCTGCAGCCCAGCTTTAACGAAGATATCCGTGCTGTGTTCAGAAAATATATGAAGGTGACTGATTGATCATATTTTTTGGGGGGACTTATGTGTGATTAAATTGCTCTGATCGTGTGTTTTACTCTTTTCTTTGTGCAGTTTTTTGAGAAAGCGGCCAGCAATGTGAAAGAGAATGTTGGAGGAGATGTCCAGCCTGACCAGCTTATCAGAGATGCCTGCAGAAGCTGCCTGGAACATGTAAATCATGATTTATGCATATTTTTTTACAAAAACACACACACACACACACACATATATATATATATATATCCTCCTGAGACCCAGATATGGAGATTTTGCCTCTGTAGTGGACATTATATTTGAGTGTATTTCTCTGAGAACTCACACGTCACAGTTTTAAGTCTGGATGTCCTGTACGGAGCACATTCAGGGCTTTCCAGAGATACCAAACGATTGGATGTTTCACCGAGACCACTCCCTCTCCTTGGTTTTTAAAAATGCCTGACATGAATTTAGTGATACAGTTGTTTTTATTTAATTAATTATTTTTTTTCTTTTGTTGGTTCCACAGCGTGCACGGCAGCCAGACGACTCCTCTGGCCAGAGAAACAGCCCCATCCCTAAAAAGGTTAAAAGAAAACGTATTTATTATTTTCTATTTTAATATTTGTAATTTATATAATGCGCAGCTGTATTTTCAGCATCATTACTCCAGTAGTATAGCGCGATCTGAACCCTAAACACATTTAATCAAAAAAGCCGGTTTTGTCCACTTTCAAGGCATCGTGAGTTCACATTTTACTGCAGAAGCCAAGCGCCCTTGTTGTTTCTGAACAGAAGCCGATAAGTCCATTTTAGCGAATCAGCGCGCTGTATTCAGGTCAGGTGACAAGGCTACTTTCACTTTGAAAAGACGTGCTAGCTGAGAGGAGTTTTGTCAAAGCTGACTAAAAGTGATCGAGGATGGATCATTTCGACGAACTTGATGAACCTGTGATATCTTCAGGGCGAAAAAGGAAAATAAAAGCTGAAACTTTTTCACAGAACCTTGCAAAAGCAACGTGTTACAATGGAGAGGGAAAAGCTCAGTGTATTGCGTGTAATCACATCCATACAGTTTATGATCACAACAACAACGTTTGTCAGGCATCTACACTGTCATCTGAGGAGATTACAAAGATTAAACCAGTGTTTTTTTTTCAACTCTAAAACACGAAATGTGGAGTTATCGGCTTTTTGCCAAAAAACGACTGTTGGAGTTATCGGCTTTTGCTATAAAACAAACTTTTAATATGTAAAAAAAAAAACATACTTTCTATGAACTTTAACTTAGTAAATTACCTGTATTTAAGTTATTATTACTTAATCAAAACAACCCAACTGCAGTTTGATTGATATTACTTGGAATGCGCAATAAAAAAAACATGATTTCTGAAAAAAATAAAAATGGAGTTATCGGTTTTTGCAAATGAACTCTTCAAGTACTGAGAGTGAATATAATTTCAGGGCTTTGGGAATGGGCGGTACAAGAGGAAGAATCTACATCAAACATGCAGAGCTCTTCAAGGTACGTTCAGTCTTTTTCTGAGAATTCATTAAGCTTTTTCTGTTCATGTGGAGGTAACGGTAATATCTTTCTCAGTATGCCGCTGATGCTCAGGACAAACACTGGCTTTCAGAAAGACAGCACATGAGAGCTACCGGTGGAAAGATGGTGAGGACGTTGTGTTTGTGTTTCCAAAACATGTTAAAGGAATAATTCACCCAAAAATTAAAAACCTTCAGGGCATTCAAGATGTAGATGAGTTTGTTTCTTCTTCATCTCACCAGTGGATGCTCTGCAGTGGATGGGTGCCGTCAGAATGAGAGCCCAAACTGCTGAGAAAAACATCACAATAATCCACACCACTCCAGTGCATCAGTTAATGTCTTGTGAAGCAAAAGTCTGCGTGTTTTTAAGCATTTTTTACTTAAAACCGTTGCTTAAATAGGAGTCCTCTATCCATAATACTGCTTTCTCCAGTAAAAAAGTAATCTGGTCTGAATCAGGAGTGAAATCTGCACAGATCAAGCACCGTTAACAACAAAAAAACAGGTGTTAACCAATATTTGTGTGGATTTTGATGCGAGAGGACAACAGGAGATTAACTTTTTCACTGGAGGAAGAGTTATGGATTATGGTATTTTGGCCAGAAGCAACAGATTAAAGTTAAAACGTCTTAATGATGGATTTGTTTCTAATAAACATGCAGTTTTTCGCTTCACAAGACATTAACTGATGCACTGGAGTGCTGTGGATTATTGTGATGTTTTTATCAGCTGTTTGGACTCTCTGACGGCACCCATTCACTGCAGAGCATCCATTGCTGAGACGCTGATGCAATGCTACATTTCTCCAAATCTGATGAAGAAAAACTCATCTACATTTTGGATGGCCTGAGGGGTTGTACATTTTGAGCAAATTTTCATTTTTGGTTGAACTATTCTGAAAAATGAAGCATTAAATAATGATTTATCATCATCTTACTTAAACCGTTTCTCTTCTCAGGCCTATCTGCTTATAGAAGAGGATATTCTTGGTCTTGCCCGAAGTGAAGACTACAAGTAAATAAAAACGTTCTTACTTAATAAAGACTGATGAAAGAATTTTACAGACAACATGCATCACAATATTTTCTCTGAATCTTAGGGACTGCCCTGACTTGAAGCTGGATGAATTGAAACCATTTCTAGTGCCCTTGTGGATGGTGGAGAAAATGCAGAAAGCAATGGACGCACAGAAAACCGAAAATGAACTTGTCATGTAATACCAACCTCGTCAGGCAAGTCATTGGACCACGGACACTCTTGAGTGTTGCCCATTTAACATAACGAACTTTTTGTTGTTTATTTTGTTTGTGCGATGTTCACGGTAGACCCAGGCATTATGATCAAGTTGCCAAGAAATTGTTCTGTTGGAGGTTTACTTGCCAAATCATTTTAATGTGCAATTGTCTAAACTGGTCTAGATCTCATTTCTTTTTTTTCTATCATCAAATGTGTGCTTTTTTTTTGTATTTAAAAGTATGTGACCCTGGACCACAACACCAGTCTTAAGTGTCAATTTCTCGAAATTGAGATTTATACTCCAAATGAAAGCTGAATAAATAAGCTATCCATTGATGTAAGGTTTGTTAGGATAGGACAATATTTGGCTGAGATACAACTATTTGAAAATCTGGAATCTGAGGGTGAAAAAAAAATCTAAATATTGAGAAAATCGCCTTTAAAGTTGTCCAGATGAAGTTCTTAGCTATGTATATTACTAATCAAAAATTAAGTATTGATATATTTACGGTAGGAAATTTACAAAATATCTTCATGGAACATGATCTTTACTTAATATCATAATGATTTTTGGCATAAAAGAAAAATCGATAATTGTGACCCATACAATGTATTGTTGGCTATTGCTACAAATATCCCCCAGCGACTTAAGACTGGTCTTGTGGTTACGTATTGTGTATTGTACTGGAATTAAACGATATCAATAGAGTCCTGCTCTTCCCAATGTCAGTACAGTTGGTTATTTAACTTGTAACAAAGGCAGAATCACAAGTTAATATTGATTAATAGACATTTCTGATCAAATTGTACAGTTGTGGTTTGTATTATTATTATTATTATTCCCGATTCTGTCAACCAAAATGGTTCCAAAAGTATTTTGCAGGGAATCAAGCAATACACAGATTCTCTTTTCATGTTAAAGAAATCACCCTGGGGTTTATAAATGTGTTGTGATGTCCAACAGGGACATTTATGTTATTGGTATTCATAATTGGGAGCTAGAAAGTGCTGTAGTTTCAGTGGGGTGCTGGTAATTTGTTTCACTGCTGTTAAAAGCATTTTTCATTCATTTTGGCATCTGAAATGACCAAGTCTGGCACAATTAAATTCACAATCATGTTCAGTGTCTCCCCTTTCCCTCCGTAGGCTTCAGCAAGAGTTGATGACACTAATGGTGAGGACTCTATATACAGAAGGTGTTATGTTTGGTCTCTTTAACTGTAGTTTGTTAGCTTAGTGCTTTATGTCCAATGCAGATGTCAGGAGACAAGGGGATTTCAGCGTTTCCAGAGTCTGACAATCTCTTCAAATGGATTGGCACAATAGATGGTGCTCAAGGAACGGTAGGAACAACTGTTGTTTTCCTCCCCCTGATGTCAGGTTATGGGATTCTTACATACAACATAGTAATCTAGATAATTAGAAGATTCTACTTAAATTCATCTTTTTTTTTTTCTCCCTGATTAGGTTTATGAAGGTTTGAGGTACAAACTTTCGCTGGAGTTTCCTAGCGGGTACCCCTACAATGCCCCTCGGGTGAAATTCATCACTGCTTGTTTCCATCCAAATGTCGATGAGAATGGTTTCATCTGCCTAGACATTTTGAAGGACAAGTGGTCTGCACTATATGATGTTCGCTCCATTCTATTGTCCATTCAGAGTCTATTAGGAGGTAGGTTATTCTTTGACACGAGTAGTGCTGAGCAAAAATCAGAAACTTGGTTCACTTTCGGTTCATGAGTTGGAATTTGGCCACAACCTGCAGGATGTTTAAGTAAGGGATAATCAACTGTTTGCCATGCATTAAAGAATTTTAAATGCACAACGTGGAGGCAAAGAACCACATTTAAAATCCTTTAATGCATGGCAAGCCGTTGATTATCCCTCTTATTCCATAGTCATTTGCCAAGTTAGACAAGTTAAAAGTAGTATTGCTCTTTGCAGCGCAGTATTTGACTGAATGGGTAAAAATGAGGTTACTTTCGTCAGTTACGGCTCGTTAGCTCTAGCATTCTGCCCGCTTCAAATTAGACACAGAGATGAAATAGTGCACTTAGATCACATTTATTTGAATGAATTATAGCATTTATTTGAACTAATTATCGAACGTTTGATCGAGCGCGAGAAAGATGACAGTTGTGTGTGTGAATTACCTGCGTCTGCATCTCTCTCTACAAACACAAAGTTGTGTTAGTACAAAGTTGTGAGTTTAGTTACTTAAACAGATTTTACCTCGTTGCTGAGGAATATAATGCAGTGATCCTGTATCTAAGCGGTTTTATAAATAAAAGTCGCGGGGCAGTGTTGACAAGTTTATGTTGGCCTACTCCTGAACGTTTCTGTGTGCGCAGCGGGATATCTCTCTCTGTGAGTGGCGTGTTTGTGTGTGTGTGTGTGTCAATTAAAGCAGCGCATTAATATAGAACGGTGATTAAACTGACTTGGAACTACCTGTGCATTAAACTGTTTTAATGCATACCTGCCAGCCAATCAGAATCGAGAATTCCAACAGACCATGGACCACAACATGAAACCAGTTTTGTGACCATATGATTTCAATAACTTGGCAGTGCCTATTTATGACCTGATATATAGAATACTTTATTTCAGATTTTAAATCTTGTAAGGTTAACTATTTTCTCCTAGTATATACAGCAGCATGTCTCTTTTTTTTTTTTTTTTTTTTTTTTTTACTAATTTACTAGCCGTCTGTTCTGGATCAGTGTACTCATGAATTCTTGTTTTTAGAACCCAACAATGATAGTCCAATGAACTCTGCAGCTGCCGAACTATGGGATGACCAGGAAGGTGAATGATCATGCCATAGTGAAAGTTGTTTGAAACTGCAGTATATTTAGAGAATTGTTCCTAGTTCAGTGTTTCGGTGAATTGTGCAATAAACTTAACACATTTCAAATCTATTTTGTTGCAGCCTTCAAAACCCATTTGCACGCAACCTACAAGAATTGAACATAAATGTCTGCCTTTTGTTTTATCTGTTTTTTCTTGTTCATAATAATGTACATTTTTTTCTGTAATTGGTCTGTGTGTATATTATTTCTGTGTTGTATGAAACCTTCCTGAATAAAATGCTTACTGAATTGAGTTTGTGTCTCTAATTATTGGATTGAAGGAATTGAAAATAAAACCAGAATGTTAAATAATTGCTTTTGTTTTATTTTTTTAATATTTACAATATAAAGGCCTGTAGTACACAACTGATCAGGTAAGAATATAGTCTGAAAAATGTTCTGTATTGAATTGAGAGGCTTACAGAGTATAATTGTCAGCAATTTTAACCTTTTATTGAAAAGTAATTGCAGAATGCATGTCTCAATTTCAAAACTTTTATTTTATTTAATCTAGTTCCAGAACCTAGCTAAGTAGGCATAGTAGACAGCCTACTTTGCAGTTGTGGTGATTGCAACAGCCTGATGTATTATTTTGAGACACCACCTCCACTTCCATGATGTCCTCCAAGCTTTCATCCTCTTCTTGTCCACCATCTTGGGTAGAAACACCTTCTAACCAGGCTTGTTGTGTGGGTTCAACAGACCACAGTGGAACATTAACTCTTTGAAACATTTCTTCAAGCAGAACATCAATCTCCACTATGTGGTTCTTCAGGTCTGGGCTTGCCGTCTCCTCTATTGATAACCATGGTGTTTGCACCATGGCTGCCCGAGCTGCTACTTCCGAAGTTCCACCTGCATAACCTGCGTTGATGAGGGCTTGTCGATCTTTGCGCTGGGTCAGAGGGAATATCTCTTGCAAGACTTTGATCTTCTTTAGGTCCTGCTGGAAGTTTTCCAAGCTGGACAAAAAGATCACCCAAAGTCGTTCAACCTGTTCTTTGTCCTCTTGTCCTTGCTCCATTTCTATCAGCAGACTTAGCAGCCTCCGGTGAAGCCCTGAAACATGAGTCGAACAAGTCAACTATCAACACTTTGAATGTGGTGTAATTTAATATGGCCAGCTTCTAGTTTTTGCAGTGCAGAATACTGAAAAGGCAATGTAAAATTTCTGCACCACTAGCATCACCAAACTGCTTCCTGCTTGTCTTTTGTTTCTACTTTGTCCAGTCTTACCTGAGCATATTTTATGAGCTACTGTCCTGGTTTCCTCCAGCTCCTCTCTAAGGAAGTTCCCATCCATGTTGCTCCCCAAGGAGGTGGCCATTTGCTGGAAGCAGGCCGTCACTTTGCTCAGGGTGGCCTGTGCCCGCTCGCATTCATTCACCTGCCTCTTTCTGGTTTGGATTTCCACCACTGACTGCCGCCAGCGACTCATTACCACTCATGTGGTGAACGACCTAAACTTTGCAGAAAATGTAAGAGTTATTGTTGATCTCAATATCAAAATTGGTCTTGCCCATTCTGAACTAAAATATTTGAAATGATGTATGGTGTATTTTTGGACTTCACTAGATGTATGAAGTTTTTAAATTCATAAATCTTGTAGTTCTTTTTTTTTTTTTTTTCCTCAATCTAATCCCAATTAAATGTACAGGCCATAACCATTTCTTTTGCTTAAAGAAATTATTTGCCGCCTTTATTAGCCTGGTTTCTTTTTAGTTCTCTTTTAAGAACCGTTGCACCACTTTGCAATATGTATTCTTAGTTTACCTTATTTCTGATATAATTTTGAAGTGATAATGTTCAATTCAAATGTTATTTGCATTTGTATGCCAAACATTTTATAAAAGAGAAAAGCCACTTACTGGTAACTGAGCCTCAAAGATATCCGTATGATTTCATAGTCTTCGGAAACTTGCAAGTTGCTTTGACATTCCTGCTTCTCAGCGTGATTACATCTGTTTGAGACACTTCTGCCAACCTCCTTGTATTTGTACGCTCACCTATGTTCTTTTTTCCAAAGCTTTTATAGAGGCCGGTCTTCAGGGACACTTGTTAAAATTAGGCCCAAACCTTGCAGTTCATGCTCCCAGAATACCTTGCGCTGTAGATCATTATTATGTCAAAGTTCTTTCTTTCTCAGAAACACATGCAGTGTTGGGAGGACAAGGTTTTCGTTCAAGAGATTCATGCATAATGAATTTCTATGTGCGGTTATCTGTATATATGTGTGCTTGTGGGAGTGTGTGTGTGCTGTGCACAGTGGTTTATGTGAAGTTAATTGTCCACAGGGAGAGTGGTGTGGTATTGTGGAGGAACAGACGTGGATCCATTATTGACTCCCTTGTGGTTACTTGGGCTTGTTTGAAAGCTGTGTGTCGCTTGATGCAACACGTATGCTCCCATGGGTGAAGTCTCCTGAGCAACACAAGTAATATTAACTCATTCAGTTAGCAAAATAGCATAGCTGTAATAGGCGCTGACATAATTCCTTTGTCATAATTATAATCTGCTTCACACTCAAAATTGTGATATAGTAGGGTATTCCTTTAATATTAAGTAAGGTTAATCAATTACTAGATTCATTTTAGGATGCCAATTGTAATGCAAATCCAGTGCATCTTTATTTTTTTTTGTCATTGTTCTTGTCCAGAACGAGACTCAAGCAGTGTTCAAGTATGGTAAGTGTACTTCATTGTTTAATCTAGTGTTCTGTTAGATATGGAAGAATCTTTATTGGTTATCTAACAGGTGGCTTTGAAGTATTTGTTCATTCTCATAGCAATGACAAACACAAATTCACTTATTTTACATATACATTACAGCTTGGCCATAGATATGCCTTACAAAGGCAACTAGAAACTTCAACGAGAACATTGAGACAATGATTGAAATTATACCACAGATATTTATAAGAAAACGGAAAGCGAACAAATCCATCTAGCATTGTTGAACACATCCTGTGGTTTCCATATTAAAGTGTGGACAGACTTCATTCTCTGTTGCATGTTATTTATAGCACAGTTGTTGAAGACCCATTGGGTGAGCTAGACACGATACAAAACCACAGCGATCTGATGCAGTCCAAAATCAATGCCTCCAGCTTGCATTGGTAATCAAGCTTTAACTGCTAAAGTCAAGTATAGTTGGCCCAGCATACAATGTGAGGTGAGTTACAATGAGTAGATGCTGGTATAATCTGGTGCGATGGAAAAAATTAGGTGTCTGGGATTAGCAGATATGCATCAGTCATTTGGCTTTTGTTCTTTTACAGGTTTTGCTAGTCCAAAGATCAGCCCAAAGATCAACCGTGGGGTGTTATGTGGCAATGGCCTCCATGATCTCATGGCACAGACATTGGCAGAAGCCGTAGAACACACAAAGGACCAGGGTGGAGGGCACCAGGCTGACCAAGATCACTCCCATCGTGAGCTGCTGGATCATCAGTAAGTAGATCCCCAGTGGCAGCGAGCTGAAGTAGACCAGGCAGAGGAAACCCATCAAAAAGCGAGAAACCGAACGAGACGTCCATGCCCGGCACTTCTGCACGGGCAGGTGGCAAGGCAAGGAGTCCAGGCTGGCCGGCCGATACAAGCGCACCATGTTCAACATGCTCATAGAGTCAGAGGACTGCGACTCTCCAGGGACTTCCATGATTGTGATGACGAGGCAATCGGAGGAGCTGTGGGCCTGCTCGCCTCCGCTCAGGCTGTTGGGTGTCAAAAGGACCTCGCCGCTGTGTGTGGTGCCGCTCTTACGTGCCCGGTCCTGGTAAGTCAGAATGGCCAGTATGTTGCTGTCATCTTGAAGCAACCAGATCTCCTCATCGGGGACGTGAGTCTCATGACGACAGAAGGGGCAGCTGATGATGCTCGGAGACGAGTCCAGCTCTACCATCTTCTTGAGGCATTTGGCACAGACGCGGTGCAAGCAGCTCAACACCTTGGGCTTGCGAGCTCGGGTGTCAAAGCGATTGTAGCAGATCTTGCACTCCAGTTCCTCCACCGTATAAATCACTGGTGCCTGGGAGCCCTCAGTCTCAGAGTCAGACTTCTGGCTCATCCTGAGAGATGGAGTGCAGCCACAGCCGAGAGGACTGGAAGAGCCAGGAAGCAGGTGCAAATTTTAGTATGCTATAGGAGCAGCACCTGAGCACCGTCCTTGGTAGCCCTTGTTTTTCTGCTTTGCGTTTGTTTTTCACCAACAAGGACTGCTTAAATTAATCTTTTCAAGAGCTTGCAGCACATAATGCTGATTAGAAGTCCACAGAAGCAAAACTGAGTCCTGACGGAAAGCTTTAACATGTCCATGATATGACACCCTAATGTATTTATGACAAGCAGACTGCTAAAATACAACAATATGCAAATTCAGTGCATGCTAAATGAGGATCTCCCTTCACTGTCCGCACTCAGTTCCAGAACTTACTTGGGTTTTTCCAGCATGGTTTAGAGAAAGACAAAACCGAAGAGACAAAGAAATCAAGTCAGTTGACACCAGAGAGGTCCAAAAATATTCCATAGCAGGACTGTCAAGCGTCTGCCGGTTTCTTTTGAAATCAGAGTCTGGACACAGAGCGTGTTTTTGCCTTGTTATCCATAACTGATTCTGGAATGAGGTGGAAGAATCACAGATTCAGATAAAGTCAGCAGAATCATCCTGAATACTGTCAGATATTTTCTTCTTCTAGTAATGGCTACACTTGATCATGACCTTCAACTATGAATGCTTATATTGTCCTCGGAGTTCTTGAAGCTCTTTGTTCATTCTGCAAAAACTGAGAGAAGAGACAGAGGTGTTATCTAGATAAGAATGTAATTGTTTGCAAAATGTCAACACTTTGCAGCAGATCTGAAGAACGCAAGAGGGAATAGCTTGATAACTACACTTACCTTTTGTGAGTAAAACCCTTCTAGTGTCATTGAGCCAGCAGCGCTAAAAACCCTTTGCATTCATCAAGCCCTTCCTATCAGGTGTATAGATGTCAACATAGGGGTGGGCGTGTGTGATAGAAAGCATGCACACCGCCCGCCAAATACAGTTGTAGTTGTTCCTCCCAATATTCAAGTTAGTGGCTGATTGTTGATTTTTTTATGTCAAATTCTTAAATGTTTAAACCCAGTATTTGGTTACATCCTTGTATATGGCAAAAATGTGTTTCATTGATTACTTGGCTAAAATAGTGGCTAAAAGAGATCCTCAGATGTGCTAGCCATAGGCGTGGCAAGCCATTCAAGCGAAGGCCAACAGAGGCCATAAAAAGTTGATTACAAATGTAATTAGCTCCTGTTTTTCCTGATTCCCTGTGGACGTGACTCACTCCGATCTGACAGACAGGCAAAAAAGTGATGCAAGTGGATGTTAACAAGAGAGAGGCAAACATGCAAATGTAATTTCCCACTATGAAACATTTCATTGTTTTTCCTGATCTCTCTTTCCATGTCTCAAAGCGCAGGTTGTTCGAATTTGAAGCCGGTCTATAAATAGCATGCATGCGGCGCTAGAGGATACCGCCTCCCCCCCCAACCTTGATGACTGTGATAAGGACTGTCACACACTCACACACACACATGACCAACAGTCGAGGACGCAGTGATGCCCTGAAATTATGACTTTGACATTGTATGGCAGCTTGTCTCTAAGGGGTCCTCAGCTAGGTCATGTAAATGGCAGCAGACAGTCTGTTGAATAAAAGCCAGTGGGTCAAGCATGGCATCAACATGAAGCAAGAGCAGCGAAGGTTAAAAGAACGCAACTGTCATGCGGAATTTATTTGCCATTAAAACGACAGCGAGTCAATACATGCTAAGGGCGCATCTACATTTAGCTGAGTAATCAATGCAGTTGCAGTGGAATATATTAACTGCGTTATACTTGGCTGCAGACATGGTTGCAGTTTTCAGTGCCTTGTAAATAAAGACCTTTATTCAGATTAAGAATGTGCTATTTTTAAATGCAATTTGTGTGATGCTGAAATTCAGGGGCTAGATCTGAATTTATCTTCATGTTAGCTTTAAAAAAGAATTGGCAAGAAAATTGAGCATGCGTAGCCCGGAGTGGTCCTAAAATAGGTTTAATTGTCTATCCAAAATGTAATTTCTTATTTTAGGTCAAATGAAGATGTTTTGTGAGATTCACCCAAAAACTCTCAATCCCGAGGTCTGTAATGAAAAATGAATTTCTATTTACTTAAATCTTTGTCTGTTCAGGATGTCTAAAGTGTCCTGTTTCTAAAATAATTGAAATTGAATAGTGATGATGAAGTGTCAGTTGGTGTTTGTATAGTCTTCTTGCTTTGGTGACCTGTAGTGCCAGTAACCACAGGGGACGATTGCGTCTGTGTGTAGGCTATGTGTTTGTGTGAGAAGCGGAAATAAAGATGCAAGGGGCGTTCACAGGAAAACACCATCTGTGTCCTGGTCCTGTGGGTTACATAAATAATACCAGTTCACCTGCCTGCTCCAATGTTTACGTCAGCCTTTTGAGCAGCATGCAGACCTTCTGAAATGCTTCTTATTTTCAGTGTTAGTTTGAACATATAAACCTTTATTTTTAGCTAATTTAATTAAGTATGCTTTCTAGGATATATATAACAACTTCATGTTAAGTTTAAATGGGATAAAAAAAAAGAATATGATAATGAAGCTCAGAATTTAGACCCTAGATGCATATGTTAAGGATCACTGATCAGTCATTTGTCATGCTAGTGGTTCCAGGCTGACAACCGATGTTTACAAACCACAGTAGTTCAGTTAGATATGCTGATAAAGCCTGTTTTAAAACTAATAAAAAGAAATGACTACTTATGGCCTAAAATGAACAAGAGTACACCCGTTGGTTTCCTTTTAGATGCATTAAAGTTTGCAACAAGCATGACTGTTAATGTAACCTTTAGATAACGGACCACCCTCATGCCCACCAAAGTTCTCCTGGGATGTTCCCTCTTGCGTGTTAAGATGTGTGCGTTCAAGTGAGTTTGGTTGGAATAAAATGAATGTGACATGTTTCTTTTTCTCGTTTTCAGTTCCTAGACGGGAAGCTTTTTTGCACTAGTGCCACAAAATGCACATTAGATGTGTAATTGATGCTTGCGAATTACAGGAGGGTATCTGGACTGAAACTAAATTCTGCAGGAAAGGACAGATCTCAATGCGAAAGACCATTCAAAACTGACAGGATGAGGAAAATCATCAATACAAAAAAAGCAGCAATATTTACTAGCAGTAGCAGAATTACAATCCAAATAGCATTTACAAGCTATTGTATTTCTGTAATGTGATGCATTTCCAACTATAACTCGTATTCAATTAGTTAAAAATGGACTTTTATCCATTTTATCCATCAGGAACCCTCCTGAAATGCCACTGGCACACATTTGAGCAGGCTTTTTGACTGGGACTTGGAAGCTAAAGGTCAAGTTCATTCTCAAGAGCATCTCTTCATATATCACTGGTAACAATTCTTCATATTTATTGTTATTTGCTATCATTTCAGTAAATAGCTTTATATTACTGTTAACTATTGGAAAGATTCTAGAAAGGCTACATTACCTACAACACTAATGGAAATAGTTGTCTGGCCTGGTGATGTCAGCCGAAAACTTGTTTCAGATTATGATTATGATAATTATAATTTTTTTGTATATATAGATATATATAATTCTTCACCATTTTAATTAAATTTTTTATAATGTGAATGGCAAAATAAGACCTGGGATGTGTATTAAGAAAGGGTGAAAAGTCAAAAATGTCTTAATTTATATTTGCTATCATTTCAGTAAATAGCTTTATATTACTGTTAACTATTGGAAAGATTCTAGAAAGGCTACATTACTTACAACACTAATGGAAATAGTTGTCTGGCCTGGTGATGTCAGCCGAAAACTTGTTTCATATTATGATTATGATAATTATATATTTTTTTATATATAGATATATAATTCTTCACCATTTTAATTAAATTTTTTATAATGTGAATGGCAAAATAAGACCTGGGATGTGTATTAAGAAAGGGTGAAAAGTCAAAAATGTCTTAATTTTGGCACCTAGTTCAACGTCTTGACAGGCATGAGGTGTCTTATCAGCCAGCAATGCACCTACGATTGATTTCTGCGCAAAACTAAATAAACCGAATACAGATAAATAAATGTCCTGTCAATTCATTTTGACCAGTAATTTAATTACAGACAAGAACTCATCGCACCCAGCAGAGCCGTCCGGACATCAGCACTAAATGTACCTTTGTCTTGACAACTGAATGGAAGGATATCAGACTCTCCAGCAAAACAAGGTAAGAGATGAAGATAAACTACAATAGAAGCATTACATACATTTTCAGATCTGTTCAATGTTAGAAGAGCTTTTGAAAACAATAACAAAGAGTTGCTATTACGTATATTGCGCAACCATAAACAAATTTGTCAATTTATCCATTTGGGTTTTCGTTATAGATACAAATAACTCATGAGGTCTCTTTTAAAACCAGTTTCTTTTTGGAGCAGAGCCTTATTTTTCTGTCACTTCTGGCCATGCAGTAAAAAGTGCTTGTTTTTTTTTTGGTAGCTGTTGTTCCTGATTTAGTGTGACAGCTCAGTGGTGATTTCACATGCGAGTTAGCCATTCTATTCACTGAAGCGCAGGGATAAAACTGACCAACCCACACAGGTAACCAGTGGCCTAGTTTACAGTGAACCCTTTCTGAGTCCTGGAAGAAGGGGTACATCTATACACTCTTAAAAATAAAGGTGATTCACGATGCCATAGAAGAACCTTTTTGTCTAAATGGTTCCATAAAGAAGCTTTAACATCTGAAGAACCTTTCTGTTTCACAAAAGCTTCTTTGTGGCGAAAGAAGGTTCTTCAGATTACAAAAACGCAAGAAAGAGATGGTTCTTTAAAGAACCTTTGACTGAATGGTTCTTTGTGGAACCAAAAATGGTTCTTCTATGGCATCGCTTGAAGAACCTTTTGAAGCACCTTTATTTTTAAGAGTGTATGTGGGCCCAGATTTGGAATAGAGAGATATATTGTAATGTAACTAAAAGCCCTAAAGTGACCGCTGTGTTTGGCCAAGACATGCCATTTTGCAATCGGGAACATTGCCAAGGCTGAACACTGTCGCCATAAATAAATATAATTGGGGTTGAGGTGCAAAGCACTTCTTAGAATCTTTCCATCTTTAGAACGCTCTCGCATGTTTTTCACGAAAGCTATAAATTGGATCCTTTTGTGCAATTCTGATGCTTTTCCACATAAATTATAGATTTAATGTTTGCGTCTTCTTGCATCTATCACTGACTCTTTAAAGTGGCAGACTCTATTAATGATGGCGTTCAAAAGGCTTTTTTTCGATGAGGTAATTACAATTCATCCTCCAGCATAAGACATTATATAACATGCTAAGACTCTCTCTCAGTGAGTTCATTAGTGAGGAGTCTGATACTGCTGGATATCATGTGCTCAATACAACAACTCTTCAAATCATTCAAACAGCTCTTGACAACTGATTTGTGCATACTGTAATAAAAGAAATAGGCATATCATTATTATATTTATTAGCCATTTTTGAGTGCAGACTCATTCTCAAAAAGAGTTTGACTAATGTTTGCATCCATCAGAGAAAATATTGAGCGAGATATGTGCAATGCATTTGTCATGGAGCCAGCTGGTTAATGATAAATGACAAGAACTATGCAAATTACCTTTAATTACATTATAGTAAGATATTGTTTCATCAAAACACTAATCGAGCTACTAAAATATCAGCAATCAATAATTTGCATCATTTAGCTACAAAAATATAGCTATTCAACAGGTATTTTTTTTATATTCATCGATTCTTGTGGATTTCATTAGAGCAAAATAAGAACAGCAAATGTACTGATATTAGAAAACGATTCTAGTTTTAGCATTAAACAAACACAAGTTGTGGCTCATCGCATAAATAGCGATATTAGCGAGCCGTACGATGTTTTATTGAGGATTTTACAATCGCGCCGTCGCTTTTGCAACTCATAAGCCGTCTTAGTATTAAATGACAGCTCGGATAAATCTAGTTAATTATTAAAACTAATTTGCCACACGTTTGCTTTCGGAAAAAGTCGCGTTCCGCGGCGTCGCAGATGCATGCGCATAAACGTCGATTATGCATGCGTATAAACATTTGATGCAAATTAATAATGTAATGCACAGAACCACGGTTTACATCATGAGCCGTGAACGTTTATAATCCGCAGTTATCGCCAATGACACTTACCCTCAGGTCTTGATTGCGCCTCGAAAACCAGTATCCAACATAACAATCGTCTATTACTGCTACATTTTCCTTTTCTCGTCGCTTTGTGGTGAGTCACAGTCAATCTGTCCGAGCACAACTGCTACATCCCCCTCATTGCGGTAATGCTACAGCATCAGAAGATGCACGGATTTCTCCTCCGTGGTTGCTGTGGCAACAGGAGCCAGCGCGAGCTCCGACCGGTGTCCGCCGAACTAACGCGTTTGACTTCTCTTACCGGACGCGCGTGAGCACTGTAGTGCGAAGACGGTGATGACAGACAGGCTACTTTAACTCATCAAGCGCGTATTAGATAGCCTACTGCGCTATTTATTAGTCATTTTTCTCGTTTTATACAAGGTCATAATAAATAGTGCATTTATTTGATCATTGTGTGGCATGCTCTTTTGTCAATGGTGTTAGACTTGGGAACCAGTAACACTGTTATGGCGGATGACACAGCAAAGACAACTATTAACAACCTGTCATAAAAAGCATACTGGTAACAGCACTGACAGTGACCCTGGAAGCATGCAGCTGTGAAATAAAGAGGAGAAAGATGGTGGCATGGCAGGGATGCAAGGAAATAATACTCTCAAAAAAGTAATGTTGTTATGACTCTAAAAGCTCTGGGTGAATGAGGGAGTGTAACATGAAATAAAACAGGGGGGAAATGAAATATAAAGAACTCAAGCAAAAGGAAACCACAGTTAAAATGCATTCGATTTATTGTATTTATCTGTATATAAATGTGTAGTCGAATTGCGCATCACTAATTATAGGTTATGTATTATATAGGTTAATTTGGCATTAAAACAAAGATTCTTGGAGGTTAGAAAATGTCTAGAAATGCCCTGCATAATTCAATGTTTAATTCAATGTTACTTGGCATTTATTTGTGAAATTTCTGAGTGAAAATGATTTCTTATCAGTGTGTATAAACTTTGCAATTCTGAGTGTAATATATAATATTATATATATATATATACTGTATAAAAATTTCCTATGACTTGTTTCACTTCTGTTTCAGTTCTTTATTTTTTTTATAACCATTTCTTACTATGTGTCAGTAAGTTGTTATTTTAGCATGCGTGTTTGGCTCAGTGTTATTTTTTAGGATTACTGATAAACTAATGTAGTTTGATTTGTATTAGTTATCTATTTTAGTTTTAGTTACAGTTGTAGTAATATTGTCATTTTATTAGTTTTTTATTATGTCTATATAGGTTTTTATTAAGTTTTAGTTTAATTTAATTTGATTAATTTGCAGTACTTCAACATACAAAATGGAAATGAAATAATATATATATATCTTGGATGTATTTATATATATATATGTATATGTGTGTGGCTGTACATACACACATGTAGCTGTTTTTGGTGTTTGGCTTAGTGTTATGTTAGAATCTTTATTCTACTCATACCTTTTGTTCTTTTAATATCTTGAATTGTTTTTAGCTTTATATTTTTTGTTTTCATTTAAATGTTTAGTTTTGAAATGATGTTGTATGCATTTGTCATTTTTATTTAATTTCTTTTATTTTCTTAAATGTGTGTATATATATATATATAGTATTCATAGAGTTTTAGCTTTTAGTTTTAATTACTTTTTCTTATTTGTAAGTCGCTTCGGATAAAAGCGTCTGCTAAATGACAAAGTAAAGTAAAAGTAAATATAAATACACACTCATACAGTATATATTTTGAAAATATTTACATGTATTTAAATGTGTATATTTATTTAATCTATATTATATATTTAATATACAAATATAAAAATTTTCTTGAATAAATATACACAGTACACACACATATATTATGTAAACAAAAACTCTTATTTTGGATGCGATTAATCGTTTGACAGCACTAGTTATAATATAATTGTCACGGGCAGGGTGTACTAGAGAGCAGACAGGACGACGAAGATGACGAAATAAAGGATATTTAATGATATAAACAACAGGAAATCCAGACAGGGTAGACACAAACCATCCACGGTAACATTCACAGGAACATTGACATTGACAATAATCGACAAACTAGACTACAGGAGGCAGAAACTAATATAGGGCGGATAATTGGTTCTTGATTCAGCAGGTCTGGCAGTAATCAGGCCTGCGTGTGGCTAGTGAAATATAACTCAGCTTTCTAAAATTATGTGATTAATCACAGTTCTTTCATGATTTAACAGGAGGGGGCAAATAATTTTTCACGTAGGGCCAGGTAGGTTTGGACAGCTTTTTTCCCTTAATAAATGAAATTATTATTTAAAAACTGCATTTTGTATTTACTTGCATTGTCTTTGCGTAATATTAAAATTGGTTTGATGATCTGAATCTTTTAAGTGTGACAAACATGCAAACAATTAAAAAAATAGGAACAACAAATTATTGTTTACAGTGTATATATACACACACAATTTTCACTCAGAATTGCTTGTGTTTTTGCAATTGCAAGTTTATACACACAAATAGATAATTTTCACTCTGAAATTTCACAAATTATATATATATTTATATATGTATATATAGCTTTGCAAATGGATTTTTAATTGCACACTATCTCATACAGTGCAGAGGGATGTTTTTGATGCAGTGTAGTCTGTCACACTGCTGTCACTGCTTGAGATGTCATGTCAAGTGCTCATTTCAGAAGAGACGCTGTCAAAGGTCAGTCCAGCAGATGGCGCTATTGTTGTTGCTAAAGAAGCCGCCCCTCATGAGGTGACATGAGGATGCACAGGTGCACACGGCAGGAATCACTGTAAAAACAGAGTCATTCTAACAAAATATCCGCGGCGTCTTTAAGAGTTTGAGAGGAAACATAAGAGAAACTGAAACCATAAAGGCCTAAAACATTATTATGAAGGATGCTGTAAACAAGCAGCACAATGAAAGCATAAACCTCGAGTCAGTGCACGTTTTGCTTTATTACGTGCTCTACGTGTTAAAACCGATTTACACGAATCTCACTTATTAGTGAGTCCTGCAGCACCGAGAACCAGTTTCTGTCACTTTCTGACAAAATAACCGAATGCACGTGTGTTGTAGGCTATTCTTGTTTGGCACGCAGAGGTTTGCGAGGGAGTTTCTCTTCAAACAGGAAGCCGCTCAGCATCTCCCGCGCTCTCACACGCGACCGAACCCTCAGTACAGACACTTCGTTCCGTTGCCTTAGAAACTCAACTAACGGTTTTTATTTCGCGGAAAATTCTCCTGAGATCGAATAATTGCAACTTTTTCGTTCCTTTTTGCCTTTTCAAATAGATTTTATCGCGGGAACGTTGGCTTGAAAACTTGTCCAATGAGTAATTTATACGAAAATATCGACGGTCAAGAAGAACTGGACTTTCCACTACTTTTCTTGTACAACCAACCTGGCAATGACTTCCCTCCAGATGACCAAGGTCAGTGGGTATCACTAATTATTAATAATAATTTTAAAACTTTTTTGACATGAACTTTCCTCCAACAACAAGTGTTTTTTTTTCTGACCATGTTTTTAAATACATACAAAAATAAATCATTATTAAAGTATTAATCAAAAAAGATAACTATGATACACAGTGGTACTGCATTATTACTATGTACTATGGTATGTGCATGCTAATTCAAAGAATAAAAATGCTATTACTATTTTATTTGTATGATCATGGTATCACCATGGTACTGTTTTGATATGTTGCTTGGGTTTAAAAGTAGGTTACACACATTATGTGAAACCAAAGGTGTAGTGGAAACTTTTACTGCCGGTAACCATATAGTTCTCTAATATTGGAGCCTACTTATTTACAGGAAACGCTAATAACAACATTCGGTTGTTTATAGTACTAAATATACACAGCGAAAAGGTGGTGAGATGGTTATTAATGTGTTTTCCCATTTGTTTCCCTTAGTTGACGACGCTGGCATCCCCTCCAGCCACGGTACCAATCAGACTTCCCCAATCGTACATCAAGACCATTCTCTGTACGATGAGGAGTCTGTGTCCCAGCTGTCCCACCATCTCCCCACCGATGACCTCCTCACCTACGGGCAATCCGATCTCAGGCACTCTTTCGGGCACTCCTCCTTTCTTGCCAGCCACGCTGGAGCGCTCCAAGGCAACGGCCCGAGAATTGAGATCACCTGCCCTGACCTGTACCAGCATGACCATGTCCACACCAACCCTGTGAACATCAGTCGGCCCATGCTCGACATCCCTTACAGGGAGAGCCAATGCCTCAGTCCGGCTAGTAGCACGTCCTCTACTAGCTGGCATTCGGATGGCTATTCTCCTGGAACATACTCCCCCTGCATCTCTCCCGGTGTTGGTGAAGGAACGCTAGCCGGATTGACCGAAGCCGTCCTTTGCCCGATGATGCAGGCCATCCAAGCGTCGGGGTCTCCCAACACGTCCCCTCGCACCAGCATCACAGAAGACACCGTCCTGGACCGCCGTCCCACCTCTCCACGTTCCCGCTCGGCTTCTCCGCAGGGGAAGCGCACTTACGCCGAATACGAGACACAGAGATCTCAAAGCCCCCGTTTTGGCCGAGACGAGCCCGCCGAGTTCTATCCCCTGGCAAACTTGGAGGATTCCATGAACAGCCTCTGCAACAGCTTGACTAAACCAGTCCCTACTAAGATTGTCCGACCTAATCTAGAGTATTCTGTCTACACGGAAAGCCAGGTGGGCATGTTCCCAATTATGACGGAAGTGAAAAAAGAATTCACTATGGAATCTTGCTATTTCATGCCTGCCAACTGGTCCAGTCAGGCTCTTCCAGGGGTTTGTAGGTATGATATAATCGATCAATTAATCAGTCCAGTGACAAAGCAACAGCCTTACATTTGTTCATTTAACAGCCTTTACTGTTACTGTAACAGTTAAGGTTCTTTATTGGTATCAGTGGTTCCATGAAGAACCTTAATATAGGAAACATTCCATTGCACAAAAGGTTCGTTATAGTAGAAAAAGGTTCTTTAGATTATTCAACTGTTCTTTATACTATAATAAAAATAATGGTTCTTTTAAGAACTGTTCATTGAAAATTGCTACGAGTGTACAAATGAAGAAAAACTCAAGCAACTAATGATAACCAGCGCCACAACCCACGAGAGAACAGTCTCAAAAATGTCTCAAACTGCAGTACCAAGATTTCAAAAGTGAACTCATCAAATATGAATTGATCTAAGCTGCTATTTTTATAAATTTGTCCTCCGCTAGTT